ATGTTTGAAATGGTGAGAAACTCAAACTCTCAATCTCTACACAAGAAGAAGAAACTCACTAGACCGTAGCATTACCAGTCTGCAGCTGGCATGTAAAGTAGTCTAGAACTTTCACTGAAGACATGAGTTGGAAAGGACATTTTTGACATGCATTTTTCTGGATTTTTTAAATTTTTATTCAGTCTCTCACTGTTCAAATAAACCTACCATTACAATTATAGGCTGATCATTTCTTTGTCAGTGGGCAAACATACAAAATCAGCAGGGGATCAAATACTTTTTTCCCTCACTGTACTAGCTATGCTTGTATAACTATGAGCTGGATTTGCCTGTCTTTGCAATTAGTTATGTTTGTTTTTCGCTCGTTAACATTTAGCTAACAGTGTCTGTGATTTCGCTATTAGTTTGTGTAGCGGTCTTTTATATGTACCACAGAAGAACCAAGAAATGAAGAGCGACACCACTGCTGTCTTTTTGGGCTTCTATGTAGATCTGCAATGGTATTATGAAAAGACAGGACAGGAATACATTAGTCTTCAATGCACCATCTGACAAGTTGTTCTTTCTCTCTGTGTTTTCTCAGACTCACACAATCTCATTCATACACAAAGCCATAATGTATAGAATAAAATAAGCAATCTTCAATACAAAGACTGTATAATAATAATTCTTAGACTATAGAACCATACCTGCAATGGTATTATCAGGACAGGAATACATCAGTCTCCAATGCACCATCTGACAAGTTGTTCTATAGAGGAGCTTGAAGAAAATAAAACCCATATCCTGTCTCTCATCTCCAATACAGTTGGTGTTACTAGGTGTTTTCAGCGTTGACAGTATTAAAATACAACAACTCATGTACAAAAACATTAATGCAAACCAGCTACAACATAAAATCGCCTTCATCCAATTCATACCTTAGAGCTAAAACTACATCTCCCATAATGCAACACTAGCATACGTCGGCAGCTCAGCTAACCATCGGCATCACAGAAAGACATGCTAGCTAGCAACCACAATATCTTTTAGCACTCTGTAAAACTATATCAATAACAACGATGAAACTCTGAAAGTTACATGTTTCAATAGTCCCACACTCCCTTATAACAATACCTATAGCATTAACCTTGGGATGCTTTATTTATTTAATGTTGTGGACTCCTACACAGGAGTAATCTGTGACACATACCTTTCTCTCTGTTTTCTCGGACTGAGGAGAATGGTAGCTACAGGTAAACTCAGCAAAAAAAGAAACGTCCTCACTGTCAACTGCGTTTATTTTCAGCAAACTTAACGTGTGTAAATATTTGTATGAACATAACAAGATTCAACAACTGATACATAAACTGAACAAGTTCCACAGACGTGACTAACATAAATTGAATAATGTGTCCCTGAACAAAGGGGGGGTTAAAATCAAAAGTAACAGTCAGTATCTGGTGTGGCCACCAGCTGCATTAAGTACTGCATTGCATCTCCTCCTCATGGACTGCACCAGATTTGCCAGTTCTTGCTGTGAGATGTTACCCCACACTTCCACCAAGGCACCTGCAAGTTCCCGGACATTTCTGGGGGGAATGGCCCTAGCCCTCACCCTCCGATCCAACAGGTCCCAGAAGTGCTCAATGGGATTGAGATCCGGGCTCTTCGCTGGCCATGGCAGAACACTGACATTCCTGTCTGGCAGAAAATCACGCACAGAACGAGCAGTATGGCTGGTGGCATTGTCATGCTGGAGGGTCATGTCAGGATGAGCCTGCAGGAAGGCTACCACATGAGGGAGGAGGATGTCTTCCCTGTAACGCACAGCATTGAGATTGCCTTCAATGACAACAGGCTCAGTCCGATGATGCTGTGACACACCGCCCCAGACCATGACGGATCCTCCACCTCCAAATCGATCCCGCTCCATAGTACAGGCCTCGGTGTAACGCTACAGTGGGGGAAAAAAAGTATTTAGTCAGCCGCCAATTGTGCAAGTTCTCCCACTTAAAAAGATGAGAGAGGCCTGTAATTTTCATCATAGGTACACGTCAACTATGACAGACAAAATGAGAATTTTTTTTCCAGAAAATCACATTGTAGGATTTTTTATGAATTTATTTGCATATTTTGGTGGAAAATAAGTATTTGGTCAATAACAAAAGTTTCTCAATACTTTGTTATATACCCTTTGTTGGCAATGACACAGGTCAAACGTTTTCTGTAAGTCTTCACAAGGTTTTCACACACTGTTGCTGGTATTTTGGCCCATTCCTCCATGCAGATCTCCTCTAGAGCAGTGATGTTTTGGGGCTGTCGCTGGGCAACACAGACTTTCAACTCCCTCCAAAGATTTTCTATGGGGTTGAGATCTGGAGACTGGCTAGGCCACTCCAGGACCTTGAAATGCTTCTTACGAAGCCACTCCTTCGTTGCCCGGGCGGTGTGTTTGGGATCATTGTCATGCTGAAAGACCCAGCCACGTTTCATCTTCAATGCCCTTGCTGATGGAAGGAGGTTTTCACTCAAAATCTCACGATACATGGCCCCATTCATTCTTTCCTTTACACGGATCAGTCGTCGTGGTCCCTTTGCAGAAAAACAGCCCCAAAGCATGATGTTTCCACCCCCATGCTTCACAGTAGGTATGGTGTTCTTTGGATGCAACTCAGCATTCTTTGTCCTCCAAACACGACAAGTTGAGTTTTTACCAAAAAGTTATATTTTGGTTTCATCTGACATTCTCCCAATCCTCTTCTGGATCATCCAATTGCACTCTAGCAAACTTCAGACGGGCCTGGACATGTACTGGCTTAAGCAGGGTGACACGTCTGGCACTGCAGGATTTGAGTCCCTGGCGGCGTAGTGTGTTACTGATGGTAGGCTTTGTTACTTTGGTCCCAGCTCTCTGCAGGTCATTCACTAGGTCCCCCCGTGTGGTTCTGGGATTTTTGCTCACCGTTCTTGTGATCATTTTGACCCCACGGGGTGAGATCTTGCGTGGAGCCCCAGATCGAGGGAGATTATCAGTGGTCTTGTATGTCTTCCATTTCCTAATAATTGCTCCCACAGATGATTTCTTCAAACCAAGCTGCTTACCTATTGCATATTCAGTCTTCCCAGCCTGGTGCAGGTCTACAATTTTGTTTCTGGTGTCCTTTGACAGCTCTTTGGTCTTGGCCATAGTGGAGTTTGGAGTGTGACTGTTTGAGGTTGTGGACAGGTGTCTTTTATACTGATAACAAGTTCAAACAGGTGCCATTAATACAGGTAACGAGTGGAGGACTGAGGAACCTCTTAAAAATAAGTTGTTACAGGTCTGTGAGAGCCAGAAATCTTGCTTGTTTGTAGGTGACCAAATACTTATTTTCCACCATAATTTGCAAATAAATTCATAAAAAATCCTACAATGTGATTTTCTGAGTTTTTTTTCTTCTCATTTTGTCTGTCATAGTTGACATGTACCTATGATGAAAATTACAGGCCTCTCTGATCTTTTTAAGTGGGAGAACTTGCACAATTGGTGGCTGACTAAATACTTTTTTTCCCCACTGTAATTTCTTCGATGATAAACGCGAATCCGACCATCACCACTGGTGAGACAAAACTGCGACTCGTCAGTGAAGAGCACTTTTTGCCAGTCCTGTCTGGTCCAGCGATGGTGGGTTTGTGCCCATAGGCGACGTTGTTGCCGGTGATGTCTGGTGAGGACCTGCCTTACAACAGGCCTACAAGCCCTCAGTCCAGCCACTCTCAGCCTATTGCGGACAGTCTGAGCACTGATGGAGGGATTGTGCGTTCCTGGTGTAACTCGGGCAGTTGTTCTCGCCATCCTGTACCTGTCCCGCAGGTGTGGTGATCGGATGTACCGATCCTGTGCAGGTGTTGTTACACGTGGTCTGCCACTGCGAGGACGATCAGCTGTCCGTCCTGTCTCCCTGTAGTGCTGTCTTAGGTGTCTCACAGTACGGAGACTGCAATTTATTGCCCTGGCCACATCTGCAGTCCTCCATGCCTCCTTGCACCATGTCTAAGGCACGTTCACGCAGATGAGCAGGGACGCTGGGCATCTTTCTTTTGGTGTTTTTCAGAGTCAGTAGAAAGGCCTCTTTAGTGTCCTAAGTTTTCATAACTGTGACCTTAATTGCCTACCGTCTGTAAGCTGTTAGTGTCTTAACGACCGTTCCACAGGTGCATGTTCATTAATTGTTTATGGTTCATTGAACAAGCTTGGGAAACAGTGTTTAAATCCTTTACAATAAAGATCTGTGAAGTTATTTGGATTTTTACGAATTATCTTTGAAAGACAGGGTCCTGAAAAGGGGACTTTTCTTTTTTTGCTGAGTTTAGTACCAGGGTGTTAGTAGGTGACGTAAGCACCCAGAAGAAATAAAATAAATTTAATGAAATAAAAACCGAAGATGTTAATATCATCCAGCTACTGCAGCTGCCTCCTTAACATCAACAGGCAGTACTAGTAGCGCAACAAATGAAAATATAAACCATGAAACCTTGGAACATTCCTGTTTGCGGGCTTGGGCCACTAACCCTTAATATGGATGTTCTGTGTTGTGTACTATTCTAATAATTTGAAGTTTGATGGATTAACCATTTGAACTCTCCTACATTTGTGCAAATTTTGTTAGCGTTCTGGGAATAGAGGCCCAATGGGCTTTTCTTACTTTTTTAGCGCCCCTTGTGTGCTAAACCGGTAATACCATAAATCCTCAGATGAGAGAAGGACGGTATGACGTTAAAAAAATCTGGATACTGCCCAAGCCTAGTCTATAAATATCTAATTTAAGTGACCAAAGGCTAAAATAGTTTTCAAAGATGATATAGTAGATCCTTATAATTTCTACATTTTCTTGTGGTTTTAGTCATTCACGTTTAGATTTAAGTAATGTTTTTACTAAGACATCTATGGCTTGCAGATGATATAGCCTAAGTAGTCCATCATCATCATCATCATCATCATCCTAAAAATATAATCAGCAACTTAATCCCCTGCAGGGAAACTCTATGGCCGAGGCTCAACGGACGACAAGGGCCCAGTATTGGCCTGGTTCAACTGCATCGAGGGCTACCAGAAGATCCAACAGGTAGGACACAGCACCACGACTTGATAAGTACCACTCACTCAAGCTAGCCCAGGACAAAGAGAACCCCATGGTATTGTGTTTTCAAAACAGTTTTAGTACAGGTGCTCTTTTCGTGGTTAGGAACCTAATAACAAGCCTGTTACCAACAGGCAAGGTTTAAAGGACTTGGTGTTGAGATGATGACGTCAGCTATAGGGTAAAAAGCCTCTTGGCTTGAAGACTTTGTCTTGATGATTACAGTCAATCACATCAGTGTTGTCAGCAGCATGGCCGTCCAAAGGTCCTCAAGTAATCTTTATCTCTTATCATCAGCATTTAATGATTGAGCTGACCTACAGTTGAAGTTTACATACACTTAGGTTGGAGTCATTAAAACTTGTTTTTCAACCACACCACAAATTTCTTGTTAACAAACTATAGTTTTGGCAAGTCGGTTAGGACATCTACTTTGTGCATGACACAAGTTATTGTTCCAACAATTGTTTACAGACAGATTATTTCACTTATAATTCACTGTATCACAATTCCAGTGGGTCAGAAGTTTACATACACTAAGTTGACTGTGCCTTTAAACAGCTAGAGATGAATGTACTTTGGTGCGAAAAGTGCAAATCAATTCCAGAACAACAGCAAAAGACCTTGTGAAGATGCTGGAGGAAACCGGTACAAAAGTATCGAGATCCACAGTAAAACGAGTCGTATATCGACATAACCTGAAAGGCCGCTCGGCAAGGAAGAAGCCACTGCTCCAAAACTGCCATAAAAAAGCCAGACTACTGTTTGCAGCTGCACATGGGAACAAAGATCATACTTTTTGGAGAAATGTCCTCTGGTCTGATGAAACAAAAATAGAACTGTTTGGCCATAATGACCATCGTTATGTTTGGAGGAAAAAGGGGGGGTTGCAACTTGAAGTACACCATCCCAACCGTGAAGCACGGGGGTGGCAGCACCATGCTGTGGAGGTGCTTTGCTGCAGGAGGAACTGGTGCACTTCACAAAATAGATGGCATCATGAGGATGGAAAATAATGTGTATATATTGAAGCAACATCTCAAGACATCAGTCAGCAAGTTAAAGCTTGGTCGCAAATGGGTCTTCCAAATGGACAATGACCTCAAGCATACTTCCAAAGTTGTGGCAAAATGGCTTAAGGACAACAAAGGCAAGGTATTGGAGTGGCCATCACAAACCCTGACCTCAATCCTATAGAAAATGTGTGGGCAGAACTGAAAAAGCGTGTGTGAGCAAGGAGGCCTACAAACCTGACTCAGTTACACCAGCTCTGTCAGGAGGAATGGGCCAAAATTCACCCAACTTATTGTGGGAAGCTTGTGGAAGGCTACCCGAAACGTTTGACCCAAGTTAAACAATTTAAAGGCAATGCTACCAAATACTAATTGAGTGTACGTACAGTCGTGGTCAAAAGTTTTGAGAATGACAAGTGTTGGTCTTCACAAAGTTTGCTGCTTCAGTGTTTTTAGATATTTTTGTCAGATGTTACTATGGTATACTGAAGTATGTTTACAAGCATTCCATAAGTGTCAAAAGCTTTTATTGACAATTACATTGTTTATGCAAAGAGTCAATATTTGCAGTGTTGACCCTTCTTTTTCAAGACCTCTGCAATCCGCCCTGGCATGCTGTCAATTAACTTCTGGGCCACATCCTGACTGATGGCAGCCCATTCTTGCATAATCAATGAGTTTGTCAGAATTTGTGGGTTTTTGTTTGTCCACCCGCCTCTTGAGGATTGACCACAAGTTCTCAACGGGATTAAGGTCTGGGGAGTTTCCTGGCCATGGACCCAAAATTTCAATGTTTTGTTCCCCGAGCCACTTAGTTGTCACTTTTGCCTTATGGCAAGGTGCTCCATCATGCTGGAAAAGGCATTGTTCGTCACCAAACTGTTCTTAGATGGTTGGGAGAAGTTGCTCTTGGAGGATGTGTTGGTACCATTCGTTATTCATGGCTGTGTTCTTAGGCAAAATTGTGAGTGAGCCCACTCCCTTGGCTGAGAAGCAACCCCACACATGAATGGTCTCAGGATGCTTTACTGTTAGCATGACACAGGACTGATGGTAGCACTCACCTTGCCTTCTCCAGACAAGCTTTTTTTCCGGATGCCCCAAACAATCGGAAAGGGCATTCATCAGAGAAAATGACTTTACCCCAGTCCTCAGCAGTCCAATCCCTGTACCTTTTGCAGAATATCAGTCTGTCCCTGATGTTTTTCCTGGAGGGAAGTGGCTTCCTCGCAGCCCTTTTTGACACCAGGCTATCTTCCAAAAGTATTTGCCTCACTGTGCGTGCAGATGCACTCACACCTGCCTGCTGCCATTCCTGAGCAAGCTCTGAACTGGTGGTGCCCTGATCCCGCAGCGGAATCAACTTTAGGAAGCGCTTGCTGGACTTTCTTGGGCGCCCTGAAGCCTTCACAACAATTGAACCCCTCTCCTTGAAGTTCTTGATGATCCGATAAATGGTTGATTTAGGTGCAATCTTACTAGCAGCAATATCCTTGCCTGTGAAGCCCTTTATGTGCAAAGCAATGATAACGGCACGTGTTTCCTTGCAGGTAACCATGGTTAAAAGAGGAAGAACAATGATTTCAAGCACCACCCTCCTTTTAAAGCTTCCAGTCTGTTATTCTAACTCAATCAGCATAACAGAGTGATCTCCAGCCTTGTCCTCGTCAACACTCTCACCTGTGTTAACGAGAGAATCACTGACATGATGTCAGCTGGTCCTTTTGTGGCAGGGCTGAAATGCAGTGGAAATGTTGTTTTGGGATTAAGTTCCTTTTCATGGCAAAGAGGGACTTTGCAATTCATCTGATCACTCTTCATAACATTCTGGAGTATATGCATATTGCCATTATAAAAACTGAGGCAGCAGACTTTGTAAAAATTAATATTTGTGTCATTCTCAAAACTTTTGACCACGACTGTAAACTTCTGACCCACTGGGAATGTGATGAAAGAAATAAAAGCTGAAATAAATTATTCTCTACTATTATTCTGACATTTCACATTCTTAAAATAAAGTGGTGATCCTAACTGACCTAAAACAGGGAATTTGTACTAGGATTAAATGTCAGGAATTGTGAGTAACTGAGTTTAAATGTATTTGGCTAAGGTGTATGTAAACTTCCGACTTCAACTGTATGTCTTATACTAGCTCACTGACATAATAATTGTTACGTTCTCCCCTCGGGTGTAGTTCGTCTGAGGAGGAGACATAAATGCCCGTGCCTGCGCACACAATGTGAACTAGATGGATGGGGAAGAAATGTGGGGTGTAATGAACTACAACAACCAGAACTCAATGTTAGCCCTCGGGGACGTTTAGTAAAGTAATTAAACAGAATTATACAACACCCATAAAGAAACAGTAAATAAAACAAAAACCAATCAAACAAACCAGGGAAGGTAAGAGAAGGGAATGTTTGGGATCGGGGTCCAAGTAATGAAAATAAACAAAAGGTCCCTCTTCTACACACCTAATCCTTCCTATCACACTCTTCCTTAACCAACTTTCCTTCCTGTTACCACAAATACAGGAGTGACACCCGCCCGGCTAACCTAGTGTGTAAAACAGTGGGTTATCTACGTGTGAATGTACACCCCATGGGCAGAACTACCTTTCCCCTTCTCCAGGACCTAGGTAGGGTGGAATACAGCAGGAGGACAGGCTGGAACACAAACAAAGATAAATTAAACCAACCAATAACCAAATCCTCAGCCAAACAAAAAGTACCCCCTCTTCCTCTCGAGCTCACACGGCAAACAGTTTATATAGTCAATCAGCCACAGCTGCCAGGACTCCAGACCGAAGCCACGCCCACCATCGTCAGCCGCAACTCAGCACACTTGTAATGACCAGAACACACAAACAGAACAAATACTCTGAACCACGCACACACTACAAAGGAAGATTGGGAGAAAGAAAAACATGTCACACGTAACAGTAATCAGTATAAAAAAATAATGTATGCACTAACTGTAAGTCGCTCTGGATAAGAGCGTCTGCTAAATGACTAAAATGTAAATGTACAGCCAGAGGATGATGGGCCTCCCCTCTGAGTCTTATTCCTCCTCTAGATAGTGTTTTGGGGGTATAGGCTTGGTTACTGGGAAGCACTTTGTGACAATGATGCTTGAAAGCTAGGGCTATATACATTTAATTTAACCAGAAAATAGCGTCGTTAAGATGTCATGTGGCATATTTTGCCCGCTGAGATTCTCATCCATGCCTCTCTCATGGAAACAGGAGCTTCCCATCAACATCAAGTTCTGCTTCGAGGGCATGGAGGAATCAGGCTCAGAGGGCCTGGACGATCTGGTGTTCGCCCGCAAAGACACCTTCCTGAAGGACGTGGATTACGTGTGCATCTCAGACAACTACTGGCTGGGCAAAACCAAGCCCTGCATCACCTATGGACTGAGGGGGATTTGCTACTTCTTCATTGAGGTGAGGCCATAGAGTAAGCTAGAGGGCTCTCTTCCCACTATAAAACTGTGATCTTCATTGTGGAGTAAGACCAGCGTTTCCCATACTCTGTGCACGTTTTGGTGTTTGCCCTAACACTACACAGCTGATTCAAATGATTGAAGCTTGATGATTAGTTGATTATTTTAATCAGCTGTGTAGTGCTAGGGCAAAAACCAAAACGTGCACCCCTTGGGGTCCTGAGGACAGAGTTTGGGAAACCCTGAGTTAGACAAATCTAGAGGGTGTACTTACCACAAACTGTGATTGTGTGAGTCATAGCCCTGGTTTAAACCTTGTTTTGTCAGATGGAGTGCTGTGACAAGGACCTCCATTCTGGGGTGTTTGGAGGCTCTGTCCATGAAGCCATGACTGACCTCATAGCACTGATGGGTGAGTTGAATCAGGTGTGCAGATGTGCTGCAATATAATTATCATAGAGATATGTAAGGATGTAGGTATGAAAGGATTGGATAGGTATATTTGCAATAGCGTTGTAGCCCTTCAATAGAATCAAATAAAATGCTAGAATGAAATCTACACAAGTGCCTAGGAGGTTCTGTAGGGGCTTGGGGTTGTTTCTGGACAGGGCATATGATATCTCTGCGGGGTTGTGTTCATAATGCGGCAAACAAAAGAAAACGGACTGAAACAAGGTGGAACTCATTTTAGTTTTTTGTAGCAAAATGTATGCTGTTGCGTGCACTCGTGAACATGACCCTGGTGTGTCCTCCTTCAGGCTCCCTGGTGGACAAGAAGGGGAAGATCCTGGTCTCTGGGATGTACGAGGACGTGGCCAAGGTCACCGACGAGGAGAAGAAACTGTACGAGAAGATCGACTTTGACATGGTGGAGTACGCCAAGGACGTTGGAGCTGGGAAGCTCCTACACGACACCAAGGTATGGATGGTCATGTTCAAATACTTCATGAATGAAGAGTCCTTCCTTCTTTCCTACCTCCCTTTAATCAATCACTGATCTTAATTTGTTGGAGTGGTGAAAGTAATAAGGTGCCAACCTTGCTCTCACTTATCCAATCACTTGTGCTTTCGTATGCATTTCTGAAGTGTTCAAACAGGGCCAATGTCTGAAATTACAAACAACTAGTTTTTAAAGCAATGCTGGTTGATTCTCAGTCAATGTAAGTGATTAATTCCCAACGTTCTCTGGTTCATATTGTCCTTTGCTCTCTCCTCTGACCCTCGTCTGCAGGAGGCTATCCTGATGCACCGCTGGAGGTACCCCTCCCTTTCCCTGCACGGCATCGAGGGGGCCTTCTCCGACGGAGGTGCCAAGACCGTCATTCCCCGCAAGGTCATCGGCAAGTTCTCCATCCGCCTGGTCCCTGACATGGACCCCAAAGTGGTGGAGAAACAGGTAGAAACCTCTAGAATTGTGCAGATCTAGGATCCATTCCCCTACCTCAAATCCTAACATCTCAGCATGTTAGGCTGACATGTGAAGAGTGTTAAAGGTAGACTCAGCAATAATTTGAATTATATTCTTTAAATACAGGGCTAGAATCATGTTTTTAGATAATTTCACCATTTAATTAAAGGTGTTATCGAATAAGCACATTGCATGTTCTAGACTTTTGGATGAAATAATAGTGGACAAGCATCCCCCACCAGTGGTCAATTCCTTACATGTAAATTCACTCTCAAACATTAGGTCCGTCTATAAGTGGTTCCCAACCTTTTTTGGTTACTGTACGTCTACCTGAAGGCCAATGGTCTCATGAGTCTTCTCAAGTACCCTCTGTGGATAGGCTAAGTACCCCCAGGGTTCCTAGTACCCCTGGTTGGGAACCACTGGTCTTTTAGCCTGTAATACAGTATATGCCATACACAGACAGTCCTGATAGCAATATGACTGTCTGTTCTTTTCATTACTATATAATATTTGATCTCAATGAGAGTTTAATATGAAGGTCAAATCATATTTTAAAATATGTATACAATCCTCGCCTATCAAGGTTATTGACCACCTGGAGAAGAAGTTTGCTGAGCTGGAGAGTCCCAACAAGCTCAAGGTGTACATGGGCCATGGGGCCAAGGCCTGGGTGTCTGACTTCAACCATCCCCATTACATGGCTGGTAGAAAGGCCATGAAGACAGGTGTGTGGACACACAGGCAAACCCTCTCACTCACACACACACTGGTCTAACTTACTTAAATATTTATAATAACATGTTTTAATGTCTCTCGTGCTCCCGCTCTATTCCTCCTCCCACACAGTGTTCGGTGTGGAGCCTGACCTGACGCGGGAAGGCGGCAGCATCCCCGTCACCCTGACCTTCCAGGAAGCCACCGGCCGTAACGTCATGCTGCTGCCCATGGGCTCGTCTGACGATGGAGCACATTCACAGAACGAGAAACTCAACAGGTAGGCTGCCACGGTTGTCTTTTGATCTATACTCTGTCTGGAACCATGGGACAGCGCACAATGTTTGACACACACCACACAGGTCCTGGACATGACTCTGAGCCATAGCTAACACTGACTCAGTTAGTTGAATCAGGTGTGTCAGTGCTGGGCTGGAACAAAAACTTGCTCACCTAGTGATTCCCTAGGAACCGTATATAAGCACACTGCTTTATTGTCAACACATTTCTATAAACATCGACAACGTATCAGAACTATAAGCAGCAGTTAGCCTAGCGGTTAGAGCGTTGGGCCAGTAACCGAAAGGTTGCTAGTTTGAATTTTTTATTTTTTATTTATTTATTTCACCTTTATTTAACCAGGTAAACCAGTTGAGAACAAGTTCTATACCCGAGCCGACAAGGTGAAAAATCGGTCGATGTGCCCTTGAGCAAGGCACTTAACCAAAATTGCTCCAGAGTCACCATTGATAATGGCAGACCCTTGCTGTGACCCCACTCTCTGAGGGTGTATGCAAAACATACATTTCCAATTCACACGTAGAATACACACTTGTACATGTGTGAAATAGGACAAATATAAGCACCCACCTAATAATAATAATAATTATTATTATTAGCATCTCCACGTGGTCTTATTGTACATGTTGTGTTTAATTCAATGATGTACACATCTACAGTGCATTTGGAAAGTATTCAGACCCCTTGACTTTTTCCACATTTTGTTACGTTGCAGCCTTATTCTAAAATGGATTAAATTGTTTTTTTCCCCTCATCAATCTACACACAATACCCCATAATGACATAGCAAAAACAGGTTTTTAGAAATATTTGCAAATGTATAAAAATATAAATTTACATAAGTATTCAGCACCTTTTGGCAGCGATTACAGCCTCGAGTATTCTTGGGTATGACGCTACAAGCTTGGCACACCTGTATTTGGGGAGTTTCTCCCATTCCTCTCCGCAGATCCTCTCAAGATCTGTAAGGTTGGATGGGGACCATCGCTGCACAGCAATTTTCAGGTCTCTCCAGAGATGTTCGATCGGATTCAAGTCCGGGCTCTGGCTGGGCCACTCAATGACCGAGACTTTTCCCGATGCCTCTCCTGCGTTGTCTTGGCTGTGTGCTTAGGGCCGTTGTCTTGTTAGAAGGTGAACCTTCGTCCCAGTCTGAGGTCTTGAGTGCTCTGGAGCAGGTTTTCATCAAGGATCTCACTGTACTTTACTCCGTTCATCTTTGCCTCGATCCTGACTAGTCTCCCAATCCCTGCCGCTGAAAAACATCCCCACAGCATGATGCTGCCACCACCATGCTTCACCGTAGGGATGGTGCCAGGTTTCCTCCACACGTGACGCTTGGCATTCAGGGCAAAGAGTTCAATCTTGGCTTCATCAGACCAGATCATTTTGTTTCTCATGGTCTGAGAGTCCTTTAGGTGCCTTTTGGCAAACTCCAAGCGGGCTGTCATGTGCTTTTACTGAGGAGTAGCTTCCATCTGGCCACTCTACCATAAAGGCCTGATTGGTGGAGTGCTGCAGAGATGGTTGTCCTTCTGGAAGGTTCTCCCATCTCCACAGAGGAACTCTGGAGCTCTGTCAGAGTGACCATCGGGTTCTTGGTCACCTCCCTGACCAAGGCCCTTCTCTCCCGATTACTCAGTTTGGCTGGGCGACTAGCTCTAGGAAGAGTCTTGGTGGTTCCAAACTTTTTCCATTTAAGAATGATGGAGGCCACTGTGTTCTTGGGAACTTCAATGCTGCAGAAATGTTTTGGTACCCTTCCCCAGATCTGTGCCTCAACACAATCCTGTCTCGGATTCCTTCAACCTCATGGCTTGGTTTTTGCTCTGACATGCGCTGTCAACTGTGTGACCTTATATAGACAGGTGTGTGCCTTTCCAAATCATGTCCAATCAATTGAATTTACCACAGGTGGACTCCAATCAAGTTGTAGAAACATCTCAAGGATGATCAATGGAAACAGGATGCACCTGAGCTCAATTTCGAGTCTCATAGCAAAGGGTCTGAATACTTATGTAAATCATGTATTTCAGTTTTTTTATTTTTAATATATTTGCAAACATTTCTAAAAACCTGTTTTCGCTTATTATGGGGTATTGTGTGTAGATTGATGAGGGAAAAAATGTATTTAATCCATTTTAGAATATGGCTGTAACGTAACAAAGGGGAAGGGGTCTAAATACTTTCCGAATGCACTGTATGTAAATGTATTTGAATATATGTATATGGTTCACTTTCAGGACAAACTACATCCAGGGCACCAAGATGCTCGGCGCATACTTCCACGAGGTCTCCCAGTTGGAGTAAATTAACTAGCCAGACCTGAGTGAGATGTATCCTGCTGCCTACTGCGCTGTGGACCCAACTGTTTAATTTTCTATCCAATGCAAGCTTCATAATGTTTTCCATGAACTGCTGCTGCTTTACAGCAAATCAGATCCTTGAAGTTCTTCCTTTTGTAATTTTTAATGTCATCTTCCATCAAGGAGATCAGTAGAGGAAAATAATATAAAAGTATTGATTATTGTACTGTAGAAGCATCATCGTGTATAGCTTCATCTACTGTGTCGGAGTGTTGTAGACAAGAACTAAACCAAACTCGACAAGGAAGCGTGGACAGTATATACGCCATGACACTTCCATGATGTCGCAGCTTTGTTGTGGTGTATTTATGAAAGTGCTAACAGACAGTACAACGATACACACTCGTTTCCTCAATTTGGAGGGCTTGGAGGTTATTTTATATATGATTTTTATTTTATTTTTTATCGTAATATGTTTGCTTGGTTGGGAAACCTGCAACTGTAATGTAGAAAATAAAAAAGCACACCAACTTCAACCCCCATTTATTCCTGTTAAATATTAGGGGTAATCATTTATGAAGTAGTTCACTCAGGAATCAGAAAACTGCAGTATGTCTTAAAATCTATATTGCAATCTGAAAACATGAGTTGACCAGAAAAATGCACACATTGGACATAGCCATAGACATCTGCAGATATTGGAGCCATGTATTCGAAGTGATGAAAATAACTCTCAATACTTTTGAATTACATTTAAATATTACAGAATACAAAATGGCGTCTTGATTGAGCCATTCAAGGTTATTTTTTAACTGGAGCGTGACTTGACCTGCATATGCATCTATCTTCTCCCTTGTCACTGTGAAACAACAGGCAACAATGTCACAAGCCAATGTATTAAATAAATCATAACATCAGTCTGTCTTTTATCATGCTTCCAATATCCTGAGAACTTCCCACGTCATGCCATCAACCCAAAGAAAACAGAATCCGTACATTTCAAATGTGATTTCGGCTTCTTTATTTTCCACAGTCTTACAAGTGTAATGTGACAATGACCCTTCCCACTGGGCACACTGGTTGAATCAATGTCATTTCAATGAAATTATGTGGAATTAACGTTGAATTGACATCTGTGCCCAGTGGGTTGAGGCTCAATCCCAAACCGATCCCTCCCCCTCCCTGGGCCATTTATTTGACAGTAATCATGAAGGGGAGTCAACATGGGCCTAAGGACAGTGTGGAGGGATGGTTAAGGATAGAACCCAGGAGTGACTGAATGGGGTTGATGTTCCTATCCAAGCTACAGGATGTACCCTTGGTTGATTTCAAATGTTGATTTGTGTGTGAGTGTGTTTTTGACTGGTGGAATGACAAGTAACCAGCGGGGTTGTCCTGTTGCAGACAGGTGGTCAGACTCATCCCACTGGGCACAGTTGTTTTGATTTACATTTGGTTGAGTTTTCAACTAATGTGCAATCAACAAATAAATTCACCATGTCATTGGATTTAGGTTAAAAGTTGGGTGGGGGAAAAATGAAATTCCCTTATGTTGATGACTTGTTGCAAATCCAATCAGTTTTCCACATTGATTCAATGTCATCACACTGATTTTTTTTGTTGTTGAAATGATGTGAAAGCAACATTGATTCAACCAGTTTTTGCAGTGGGATCTTCCACAGCACAGAGGTGCAGAAACCATACTGCCAGAGGAGTTGGGGAGGTCAGGATGGGCATTCTGTCTCGTGTTGGTATTGTCAAGTGCTAGTCCTTCTCCAGATCCAACCTGACACCAGGGTTGTGTTCATTAGGCACCAAACGGAAGAACATTAACTGAAATGCGGAGATACATCCTTTACTTGTCAAAAAACGTTTGTTTTAATTTTCCAAACGTTTTGCAAGTGTATGCCCTAATGAGCACGAGTCATTGTACAACTGTAGACGCAGAAGCCTATTTAACTTCCTTAAAATCCCCAGAATGAATCTAAGATAACTCAAGAAATCTGTAATTTTAACGTTTTGGCCGAATATCTTTTAACCCCGCAATTGTACATCTAACTAAGGTGTTTGGTGCAGTGTTTCTCAAGTTTAAAAAAAATAGTATTATGTGAACAGTCGGAGCTGCAGGGCAGGTCAACCTCACTGTCTATACTATTGGATAAAGAGCAACCACCGCAGCTGTTCACCCCATGTTAGTGGGCAAATGGACATCGTCAAATCACAACCCAACCTTCATTAACCCGGTGTGATGCACAGATGTTCCAAACTCCGTTTTAAACGAGAACGACTTTATGACCAAAAGTATCCTATTTACACTTTGCAGTCAATTTTGACACTATAATAATTTTTGGACTCATATCGATGCCACATAAGCCGTTTTTAAAGGAATGCGTTGCTAAATCTACCCTTGGTCTGCTAATTTTTTTTTAATTTACTCCGATGATAACCACCAGAGGGCGAAAATGTATTGGTCAATTACGGTTGCAGTTGATAGTTTAACGAGAGATTACCTCGTGATAGTACGATATGCATTTGGAGGACGTAAGGAAGCAAAAACAACCAAACTACTCACTCTGTGGAATGATAACATTGTGGCATTATGGGCACTAGAGGGCGACACAAAACCATGTATTTTTCTTGAGTTCACCAGGGGTTGTGTGGTTGCCCAGTCGGTAGCT